TCAGAGCAGGTCCGGGACTCTCCCTTCCCTGCCTGGAGCTGGGGCTGACACCCGCGTGGCAAACTGGGACCATCAGGCAGCTCGGGGCACAGGGAAAAACGCGGTGGATGGAGTTTTCCTTGTGCCGACTTCGCCCTCGCCTACAGCAGAGGGGAGCAGGGAGCGGCCGTTGTCTTCTCCAGGGGACTAAGCCTCTGGGATGTCGGTACCTGTAAAGCTGGCTCTTCTCGCTGTCTCAGGAATCCCAGTTCAAGAGGAATAAGGGGGTTCGCGTGGCAAAGCCCGACAGCATGAGGCGGAAAAGCCTCACATCTGGTTGGGGAAGATGGAAGATTTTGGGAGGGCAGAGAAGGTGGAGTAACCTCTGTCACAGGAGCGATGCCCAAGAGGGATCTTGGTGCCAGACCCCACCAGGGGAAGGTCCGGATGAACAGGAGAGACCCGGGAAGCAGCACAGGCAGGTAAGGAAGGGGTAAGCCCAAAGGTCAGGGGTAGGAGGGATCCTGGGGCTGAACGGGCTGGAAGCTCATGGGAGGGGAAGGGGCTTGTGCTGGGTCTCCTCTTGCTCTTCCCCCAACTCCAGACATCTTGGGCTCAGGAGGGCAGAGGGTAGACACGTACTTGGCAGTGGGAATCACCTTCAGGTATTTGAGCAGCAAATTCTGTTGTTCTGCAGTCCCAGATGGGTTTCAGTGTTACCATTTCAGGTTTGAAAACTGAATTGCGGGCACATACAACGCACCAAAACCCAGAGACTGGTATGTGCAACCACCACCCCTGCTCTCCTGGAGCTGTGAGAGATCCTGGGCACATCCTTTCCCTGACACCAATGCCAGAGCAGAAATCTGCGAGCTCTGGGCTTTAGAATATTATCTGGGAGAAAGCAGGGGATGTTTTAGCTCCTCACTTGCCCCGCACACAGTGAACACCACCAGGGAAGAGCCCTGATGGGGCTTGGGCTGACCAGGCAGCCAAGAGCCAGGCCCTGTCCTGCCTCCTACAACCCTCCACAGCATTTCAAAATAAGCACAATGGCTGGGCCTCTCTGAAGTTTGCCTCATAGGCTTTTTCTGTTTGTTTTTCTGGAGCCAGGAGAGTTCACATTCCCAAGCTATTCCCTGCAGCCAGTACAGCAGGGTTTATTTATTTATTTATTTAATAAAAAAAGAAGAAAGCAGAGCTCTGCATGCAACCTCAACTTTCCTGAGCAGGGCATCAGCCCCAGGCACCAAACAGGCAGTTTAGAAGAGAACCTGAAGGGGACTACAAGGTTCTAGAGCCCTATTTCTTCCTTTCCTTGCCAGAAATCTCAGTCCCAACTACACCTCTAACTACAACAACATGTATTGGAGAGAGTCTGCTTTATAAAGCTGCTGCCTTTCTTATCTGAAAGCAAAAAGCATTAGGTAAACTACCAAAGTGGAACCATTTTATCCATCTCAACCAGGGCAGCACCCCAAATACCATCAGTTTAAGAAAACAGGCCAGGACCAGGGAAACAAGGCATTCACTTTCCAGCAACTTACCAGCAAAAAGAGGGGGTTATTAAAAAACACAGGCAGCTCCTTTGCAAGTCAAAACCACAGAAATAGGAGCAACCGCATCTTACCTGAACTTTCCCAACCCTCCAGAATTTAAGCATCAGCTTGGCTGTGAAGGCAGGGTGTGAAGAAAGCTTGCTGGGACAAAGCATCTCAGACTGCTAACCCAGCTTTAGGGGAGCTGGGATGGAGGAGGTTTGGGTGAATACCAAGCTTTGCTGCAACCTGCTACTCTGGAAAGGAAAAATAAGCAGAGCTACTTTACAAGCCCCAGCTCTGCTGAATTTAAAGGATCAGCACAAATAACACACACCTGGAAAAGAGCTTTCTCTGTAGGGCAGGTGAGTGCAGAGGAAAGAAACGTCACTTTAGGAGTCCCAGGGTACTCCAGGCTCTTGAGTGGGGTTTAGCAAGGCACGTTGCAGCTGGGGAACCATCCTGCTGGGGCTAGACCCAGCTGCTACCCAGCTGCATCTGCTGCTCCCGAAGGAAGGATGTATCAAAGCACAATGATTTGTTTTTATTGGGAATATTTGCTTCCTGCCACCAGGATGCATGTGCAGCAGCAGAGAAATGTACAGGGGTTCGAGACCTTGTGCACCACGTGAGGCAGAAAAGGCTTGTTAAGAGGGGTATGTATTACCCAGACATCTGTTGAGGCTGTGTAAAAGAGAAATGGCCAAGAGGACCCTGCGGTCCTGCCCACCTTCCACACACGGTGGGCCCTGCGTCCCCCACAGGAGAGCAGAGCACCACCCCAAACCTCACCAAAAGGCTTAGCCTAAGGCCACAACTGCACCGGGGTCAGGAGTTACTGGTACAGAGGCTGCTACCCAAGCTGGGCAAGGGCTCAGAACACTGGTCGGAGCTGGTGTTTCGCCCCACGCTTTGTGCACGCAGGCGCTCAGTGACATCTCCAAGGACAATGCGGTTAAGGGAACAGCTTTAGTGCTCAGGACAGGTGGAAGGGGAGTTCATTTTCCACTCGTTCTGATTTCCACCTGTGATTGCAGTAAAACTCTGTGCTGCCCTCAGAGGAGGGAGGAGGCACTGAAAGGCAGAGGTTTCCTCCTGCCTTCACCTCCACAGGGGTGCTCCACCGCGTGCTGCTCTGGCCTGGACCAGCCCTTGGTACTTTGGGACAACTGCATGGCAGAGGAGCTCACAGGGTTTGTCATCCCGAGATACTCTGATCCCAGCCTCTCCTGTCCAGAAGGACAGCTTTCAGGTGACACCACAGAGTGGTTCAAAGCCACTCTGCTCATTTCCAGAGCTTTCCACAAACACCACCAAATCCAGGCTGCGCGTGGCTCAGCAGCAGTGTACAGCAGGAAACAGCGGAAAGAAAACACCCCCGAAGCGGTCTCGGCACATTCCCCAAATAGCAACGGCCATTCTGCGGCCAGAGAAAGGCTACAAACAGAGGGGGAGAAATTCAGTCTGCTGTACCTGGGAACATTTTCAGGCATCAGTGGCATGCGAATGCAGATACTGCCCTTGGGAGAAAGCTCAGTGTGCAAACTGAAAACTCCGTTTTGTTTGAGCATTTCAGTCTTTCCACAAGTCTCAGAGCTCTGTGTCCAGGGTAAGTGATTCCTGCCAGCTGCTCCAGGCATGTCCCTCTGCATCTTGTCACGGTTAGGCTGAGACGGAAAAGCCACAGCTGGTGCTGGCTGGGAGCTGCCAAACGCCGGCCGCAGGACATCCTTGCTGGTTCAGGCATGCTCCTGCCTGGAGCGAGGCTCCCCCAGGGAGCTGCGTCCCGTGGCGTGAGATGAGGCGGTGCTGGGTGCACAGAACACCTTGGTGGCTTCACAGCCTCACCCTTGAGATTTCAACTTCCACCTTACACTGCCTGGCAGGCACTTGCTTCCCATCCTCCTCGCAGGGGGGGGAACCTAAGGGGCTCCCCATCCCCACAGACCCACACAGCTGGGCAGGTGGAGGATAGCTGTTTTAAAACTCCCCTGCTACCACCTGCGTCTGCTGACCCAAAGACTTCATGACACCCTCATGATTTTCCCTTTGCGATTCATGCGGTATTCATGACCAAAGGGAACGGGCACATCTTCCCTCTCCCAGTTCCAAATGCATTTGGGCTAGAAAACCTTCTTTCCTTCAACGAACCCTTTCCTTGAGGGGTAGCCTGGCTGCTTTCCCCCTCCCACCCTCAGCAGGAGTGCGAGAAACCTGCTGCTGCGTTCCCTTCCTGCCTCATGGGGAGATGTGCCTCTTCTCTCTGGTGACTTCCCTGCCCAATTTCAACAGCACAGGGAGTTTACCAAGGCTGTAGTGAGCATCCTTGGCGTGCAGGTGACCTCTCTGACAAGACACTGTGTGCCCACACACACACACACACACACACGTGCACACTCACACTCGCACCACCCAGTCCAGCCAGGGGAACCAGCAGGGCACAGGACAAGGGGTTTTAGATGGTCGGTCTCACTGGGCGTTACCAGTACGGAGTGGTGGCGAGGAGGATCTGCAGAGCCATGGAGAAGCAGGGCAGCTGTGCCACACCGTAGGCCACGGAGCGCGTGGGAGCCTTCAGCCGCAGGAGGTAGGCGACGGTGTGGATGATGCGTCCCACACAGAAGATGAAGAAGTGGACCCTGGCCACTGCGGGACTGGGATCCAGCAGAGAGTAGACAGCTCCAAGGAAGAGGAAGGGAAAGATGTTCTCCATGTCATTGCGGTGGGCCCTGGAAAGGGAGATAAGGTTGCTTCTTCCCGCCAGGCTTCCCCACTGTTGCCCATCCCTCCTAGCCAAGGTACCAAGCCCTGGGTGTTGCCGGCCCTCTCCTCCGTTGGATTCCTCTCTACACACACAGGCAGCAGAATTTCCCACCTGGTGTCTCTCCCTTGGGATGCTGTGTTCCCAAAGCTTGCCCTCCGTGACTGGGATGCCTTTTGCCATGACAGATGACAGCTCAACGAGGGCTAGAGCTTTTAAATAAACAAAGTAAAATAAAGACCCCACAAAGCTGTGAAGAGCTCATCGCTGGTGCAGCGCCAGCACGGCACGGCCCCAGATGTGGCCGTGTTGCACAATAATGATGTGGTTTCCAGGCCGTGGTTTTTCCAGAGAAGAAACTCCCTGGATGGGAGGGTTTGTAGCTTCGCCCCTCTCTGTAAGTGCATCCGAAGGGGCCCAGGAAGGAGTGCCCTGAGCACCCCCCATGCCCACACACGGAGCCAGCAGTGCCTGCTTAACCATAGTTGGGCTGGAAGGACCGATGTGACATTGGGACTGACGGGGCCAACCTCTGGGCTCCATCTGAACACGCACCTGCCTGGGTGTCACAACATCACCTGCCACTACCCACACCCCTCTGCTACCCAAACAGGAGCTGATCGTGTCCTGAGCACAGGCTGTGTCCCTCCTTCCCCAGGTACCATCTTTTGAAGAGGGAAACCGGTCTGCAAAGCACTGAGGCTGCCCTCAGCTTCCCACTGCCTCTCTCTCCTTTTTTTGTTCCCTTGCGGTGCAAGAGCTGCTTTCTGCAGCACAGAGCCCCGTCCTTGTGCTTCAATGGTGGCACTGTCATGTTATGCCCTGGTCAGTGGGAACAGATCTGGGCTGGCGTCACCTCTGTGGGTACCACCACAAAACCCTCCCACAGCCCAGCCAGGACGGCAGCAACGACCGTGGTCTGGGTGTCAGCCGTGCCCACTGCCTCGTCCCGCGACAGTTGCCTTTTCCCTGCTCTGAAGGCTTAAGACGTAGAGGTGAAGACTGGATAAGAGCTGCCCTCGCTTCTCCATTCCTGTGCCCTGGGATGTTCGAATGTTCACAAAGCCAAGAGAAAATTTTAAGTGATTTTTTAATCACTTAAAGTGATCCTCCTGGCCAGACGGTCCCTGAGCAGAGCCAGCCCCTTCCCAGACACGAGGACAGGCTTGTCTGCTGACCCCCCACTCTCCTCCCCCCGCAC